CCCTACACCACAGTTATCATACACCCCTCCCCAGAACAGTTATCATACACCCCTCCCCCACCACACCACAGTTATCATACACCCCTCCCCCTACACCACAGTTATCATACACCCCTCCCCCACCAGTTATCATACACCCCTCCCCACACCACAGTTATCATACACCCCTCCCCCACCACAGTTATCATACACCCCTCCCCCCCCATTCCCTACGTCCGAGTTTACATAGGCCAACAGAGTGTGTAACTACCACCGTTGTGTAACGACCCTGGAAGGAGCGCTGTCAGCCTTTCTGTGAATGTTGTCCTCTCTTCCATATGTACAAGTGAACATGTTTCTCATAAGCCTAGAGTACACACTACACGTTATTATCTAGTGTCCTTGTGTTTCTCACCAACTAATGTGTTGTGAGTACTTCCATTTTATTTAACATCCTATTTCAAATGCAGTCTTCAAATTTCTCACTTGCTATGATTTGGAAAGGAAAAAAGAATGTTCTCATTTCTAGATTCTTCCCAAGCACTCTCAAGGGTGCAATGCTGAATGACCACTAAGCCTTTGTGGTGAGCTTGCCAGGTTCAGTGAGTGAATGGAAAAACATGCAATTCTGATATGGATATGTGTTTGGAAAACATGACCATGCTAATGCAAACAGATAAAGGAGGTATGGTTTTTCATTTAGGAAAAGGATCTTGGAATTGTTTTTTAATAATGCAAAACATGTCAGCTCATGGTGCTTGTGCCCTAAAGAAGGAAATGGAAAAGCTAACAAAATTTAATATCATCAAGAAAGGTTCTGGGAATGAATGGAAACATCACTAACCACTGTGCCCGTGCTCTGGGCTGCTTCACTTTAATAAAGCACAAAGAGGAGGCAGGGTCCAAGTTCAAGAAACTCAGACAACAGAGCAGACAGGCAGCAGGCACGGAAACCAGACTGGAAGGATTTAAAAACTGCAGCGGGAAAGACAAGGCCTGAAGACTCTACCATGGTGGGAGGCTGCCGTGCTCAATGCATGGCATCTTATGACGTCTCAGAATGAGACATCGAGGGGTCCCTTCAAGGGATAAAGACATAGTTTGGAGACCAAAATGATCATACAGCTTGACAGAGACTAGAGAAGAGTTTGTATTGTCCAAATACGTAGGGACTGTGTATTGAAAGAAAGCTGGCTATGTTTGGACTGAACATTACTAGTTTTGTTCTTTGGTAGCACTAGCTAGACTGAAACTCACTCTGTAGACCAGGCTGGGTTAGAACTCACAGAGATCTGCCTGTCTCTGTCTCCCTAGTATTGAGATTGAAGGCATGTGCCATCATGACTAGCCTAGCCTGCCATTTTTTTTTTTATTTATTTTATGTGTATGGGCGTTCTGCCTGCCTGCATGTCTGTGCACCATGTTAGCGTGTGTAGTGCCAGCAGAGCCTGACGATGATGTTGGAGCCTCTGGAACTAGAGCTACAGATGGTTATGAGCTGCCATGTATGGGGATGAGTTTAGAAAGTTGAACCCAGGATTTCTGGAAGAGCAACCATTGCTCCTAACCACTGAGCCATCTTTCCATGTTATCATGTCCTACAACTTTGAAGAAATTACTACTGTCTGAAAAGCAATTATCTTTCAGTAAAATACCCTTGATCATTTAGCTATTCAGATTTTTAAAAATCCTATCATTCGTTTCATTAGCTTGCTGATTCTGAGAAGAAAGTTCCACACCAGTGAACTGTTGAAGAAATCAGACCATCTCTTCAGAACTTCAAACACCAAGAATTCTCAGAAGACCTACTTGTTAGTGGTTGTGAAAAACTTAATATATGTCTGCTCTTAAGGGTGGGGGGAATCTGTGTTAGTTAGTAATAACTTCTTAAAAAGAGATTTCTCTTTTTTAAATTATGTGCATGCATGTGTGTCTGTGCATGTGAGTGCAGGCGCCCTCAGAGGACAGAGGCATCAGGTCTCTGGAAGTGCAGAGATGTGTTTGTGAGCCCCTTGACATGGATGCTGGGAACTGAGTTAGGGTCCTCTGGAAGAGTAGCAAGCTCTCTCAACCACTGAGCCATCCCTCCAGAACAAGTAATAACTCTGAACATGGAGCTGCAGGTCGTGAATGCAGAGGCAAAGTTAATACACCACCCTCAACCAAAGCAGAAACAATTATAATAAAGAATAAATCTCATGTCTCTGCAAATCTATAATTAACCACTAGCTCCACACTGTTGTTTATATTGATATCCTAAAGAATGCATGGCAATTCAAATAAACATTATTCTAGTTCAAATGTGAAGCCCTTGAATGCGTACATCCTGCTTTGAGAAGTTTCACTCCAGGCTGAGAACTGTACCTTGTCCTGCTGTCTTGAGCAGTCTGGCATTCTCCCATTTTCAACAGTTCCCTATGCAAGTGCAATCTTTCCATTTCTATGATCCTCAGGAGGTCATCACGTGACTGTAACTCATTCTTCACCTCTGACAGTCCTGCTTCCATGGCCTGCAGTAAAATTTTTTTGACGTTCACTTTAGAATTATTGTGCACAGTAGATTAAAAAACCATCTAGCCCTCAAAACAGTACAGGATATTGCCATTGCTCTCCATTGCCCACCAGACCCTACTGCTGAAATATTGATTGCAAGACATGTCAAAATCAAGCTGGTAGCTTCCTCCCTGAAGGACAGCACTGATAGTGCCAGAATGTGCTAGCCAGGCTGATGTGGGAGAAAATTCATCAGTGGTATTACCCAGTGGAAGACCCTGTGTGCCACCAACATGCCAAGCAACATGTGCCTGCTGGTGCAGTAGTGAAACCAATGCTGTGGAGATAACCAGTCACATGCCGACTGGATTTGAGGCTTGCTCCACAGGAAGGAGTCCATACCTGGGATTGGATGACGGGGAGATTAAGTCCGAGGAAGAAGCTGCTACTGTTGCTTTGCTAAACAAACACGTTAAAGTGCCTTCTAAACATTTGTTTGTATCCATAAGTTAGTGCTGTTCTCAACCTTGGTCAGAGAAGCTTCCTCTTGCCACAGGCAGTTGTTACCTCAGAGACTCATCACTGGTCAAAATGCTGAGAATAAGTCCCTGTGGGTGCTCAGCCCTAAATGGGACATTATATCACCCAACCCCTCGAGGCTCAGGAAATACTGTGCAAGGGAAGAATACAAGAGCCAGAGGATGAGGAGTTCTCTGGCATGATGTCTAGTGGACATGGCCTGGCTGTTGTACTCGAACTCACAGCAGCTGTGCAAGACAGAGCTTGTCAACATTCCATCCTGGATAAGAGAGGGCTCTTGAGGACCCACCCCTCCATGAGAAGCTACTGGTAGTTAATGGAAACTGGAAGAGGGAAGTTGTTTTCTTCCATGATGCAGTCACAGGCAAGTTGCCCATGCTCCAAAAAATAAGTCCACACCCATGGAAGCAATCCTAATGAAACCCACAAGGTCTCTCTCTCCTCTCTCTCTCTCTCTCTCTCTCTCTCTCTCTCTCTCTCTCTCTCTCTCACACACACACACACACACACACACACACACACTCACACACTCACACCAACACACTATCACACTCACTCTCATATACACACTCATACATACTCACATACTCTCTCATGCATGCACACTCAAATACACACTCTCACTCTCTTGTGCACGCACACTCACAGTCACACACACACCTTACACACAAGCTCACATACACTCAGTCTCACAACACACTCACAGAGTCATAACACACACACTCACACATCACACAATACTCATACACACACAGTCTCACACACACACACACACACACACACACACACACACGCTCAAACACTCTCACACACATGAAAGTAGGAAGAGGGCTTGTTAGGAAGAAGGAGGGATATGGTGGGGGAGGAGGGGACTGAGAGAGGATGATGATGGGTGAAAATGACCAAAATCCACCATATACATGGATGAAACTGTCAAATAATTTAAAAATTAAAAATGAACAACTCTAAGTCGATGTACTCAATTTTAAGTAAAGCATGTTCCCTCTTTTGCTCCCTCTTCCTCAGAGAATTCCTTTCACTCAATGGACAGATGCTAACTGAGCTCCTGGTAGGTGCTCTGGGGCACAGATGCTAATCGCCCTCAGAGAGTTTGCCATCCTGGATAAAGACAAGGAGCAAATGACCAAACTACACCTATGTGGTCATATTGTGTGTGAACCTGAAGCAGTGAAGTTTGAATAAAGTATGAGGGCGAACTCTAATCAATGCTGGTATTTTCTGATTAATAAAATAGTAAGCAAATGACAGATAATCTCGTGACCAAAGCCATCAGTCAGCTTTCCCCACAAAGCTGGCAACACAATGGGTTATGAGCCTGGTTCCTCTCCTGCCCCATGGCAGTCAAGCTATGCTGAAGGACCAGGAATACCAGTGACCCTGTGGGTCTACAAGAGGCCTGAACAGCTGGAGTGAAGCAGAGGATCTGAACAGGAGAGAAAGGGCAAGAGCAGTGGGCGAGGCTCCTCAGAAGGTGGGTGGGAGAAGCAAAGCCAGGAGAGAGCACCTGCAGTGAGACCAGTCTCCTCCAGCAGCAGGCAGGAAGGACGGGTGGGCTGGAGGTAAGTTTCTGTGAGACCAGTCTCCTCCAGCAGCAGGAAGGAAGGACGGATGGGCTGGAGGTAAGTTTCTGTGAGACCAGTCTCCTCCAGCATCAGGAAGGAAGGACAGATGGGCTGGAGGTAAGTTTCTGCATTTGGGTATGAGGAGCTTCAGAGCCCGGCTGTCTGTTGGTGGAAGGGAGGAGGCGTCAGGAGTGGGGGTTACAGACAAGCATGCTGGCCACTTCAGCATGTGAAATGGTACACTGTGTACCATTTCAGACCCGACCATGGCCTGTTGGATGATCTCCTGCAGCAGTGTGGCAGCTCCCTAGGAATCAAAGGGTACCACACAGGAAGTGGCTCCTGAAGCTGGTTTCTTTCCCTCGGCAAGTTTCCAAGGTTCATCCATGCCGAACTATATCTGTTCCTATTTGTGGCTGAATTATAGCCCGTTACATGGATATACCACATTCTGTTTCTGTTCATCAGCTGGCACACATTGAGGGCTAGCTCTGCTTTGTGGCAGTCATGAGCAATGATTCCACTTCAACGATGGGAGTCCTCAGGAAGGTTTCTTAAAGAAAACCTTTCGTTACATGTCTTTCCCAAGCATCTGAGTTTGGGAAGAACTGATTACTATACTTGGCCACACACATTCCAGGTGACTCAGAAATAAGTTTAAAAACAGATTCAAAATGATGTCTTATGAGATTAATTTAGCTATTCTCTGTTTTGAAGAATGGGGATTTTTTTCAGGGAGAGTTAAAATTTCAAAAACTAAAGAGATGTGAAACAATTAATTATACAGCAGAAAAGCAATTTACCTTAATGCGAAAGCCACCTGTTACGTTATGCAGGTGAAGAAGGGACACCCTGGGCTCTCTGCTTGGTGGGATTTCCACCGTGGGACACGAATGCCAAGCAGACAGTGGCTGTGTCTTTCTTGGGGGAGAGAAGAGGGAAAGTCTCAACTCCAGGCTGGTGACTGTGGTGTCAGGGTGATGGGAGTGGTCTGTTCCGTTTCTAGAAAAAATTCTCTGTGGTGATGAGTATCTGGGAGAAACACGCTGTGTAATGATCCACAGGTGTGAGAATGTAAATTAAGATATACATTGTACAAGTTGGAGATAATGACTTGACAGATAAATAGGCAAAATAGATTGTAGTTGACAGAGTAATGTAAATTGGCTGCAAAAGTATAAGAACAATTGGAAGGATTTGTTGATATTGATAAATCTAGAATCATCTTCTTGCTTTGGGTTCAATAAGCCCAAGTTGACATGAGAATTAATGGATTTTTAAACTAGAACGTAGTTTTGAAACTGGTACAATTTTGCATGAAAGTCAGATCAATTATTTGTCAATGTGTCAACTATCTGGGAAATGATTCATTATTGGGACTTTTCAAGCGTGTCTGGAACAGTGAGAGCACTGCACGCTCCCTTTAGTTTTGATCTTTTATGAAATCTAAACATAGATCAGGCATTTAGGAGTGAAATGTAGGTATGTTGTAGGTTTAACATATACACAGAGTTTTGATGACTTAGTATGAGAACTGTAAGATGTCTCATTAATCAGTTTTACATTTTGATTACATTTTAAGTGACAATGTTTTGATATACACATATATTGGTTTGACTAAAAATACTACTTACAGTAATGTACCCATTTCTCTCTAGTTCTTTAATGTGGCTACAAGAAGATTTTAAACCACGGTTGAGGATGGAGCTCAGTGGTACAGCCTTTATCTAGTGTGCATGAAGGCCTGGGTGTCGTCCTTAGTGCTGCAAAAACTTCCTGTGATGGTGTGCACCCAAACTCCCAGTTCAGAAAGTGGAGGATGAAAAGTTCAAGGTCACCTTAGGCTATATAGGGAATCTGAGGGCAGCTTGGGCTACATGAGACCCTGTCTCAAAAAAAAAAAATACATACATAAATATAAAAATAAAACAATGAAATGAAACAAAGACCAATAACAAACACTCCAGAATTTAAATTAGATCTGCAGTTGGGGCAAACTTTTCTCGGATGGTGTTGCTCTAGTTTTTAGTGCTGTATTAGCAAGCACATGAGAAGCTAACTTTCCCAGCATAGATGTTTGAAAGACGCAGAAGCATTTATTTTTGTCATTCATCTAGTGGAGAATGCTGCACATTTAAAAACCTGAGGGGCGTGTAGGGTAGTAAATAAACATGAGCCGCGGGCTACGTGTGCTGACACATTTCAAGGTTGTGCAGAGACAGATGATGCGTCTCGGGAAGACGCAGACACAGCCGCTGTCAGAAGGTGCCGCCACCGCCGCCTGTTAAATGACAGCGATTTAGACAGGAATTCCTGTCCTTTTACATTTACGCCCGAGATGTGGAGCCCTGTCAGGTGACTGAGAGAGAGGACACTTTTTTTTTTTTTTTTTGCAAATGTATATTATGGTTGCAGTATTATTTACCTCTACTTATCCTTATGTGGTAAAATGAAGATTTTGTAGAACAAACCTAAGGCCCATCTGTTTCATTAGGAACTTGTTTAACTCTGAGAGGAGCAACGGTTTTAAACCTTCAAATTAGCTGACAAGCTTAATCAATGGATTCTCAGCATTTACCAGAAGGCACAAGGACAAGCCATAAGTGACACCTGGAAATGAAACACAGGGTGGAGGAGAAAGAAAAAAAAAAAAAAAGAAAAAAAGAAAAAGCTGGGGTCTTGGTGCTTTTT